AAGTACCATAGATGTGGAAACCGACTTTGCCGCTGAAAGACGTCGTTTTAACTGAGAGGTTTTTGCCTAAATGGTGCACGTCTGAAAAACAGTGAGAATTAGGTGTGAAATTTTGCTTATAAAACCAAAAATGAGTAGCTTATATTGCTATATAAGCCCGTATGAATTTGACATGAGGCCGTAAATTGCGATATGTTCGAAAAATTCATACCAGCTGCTGTAGATTTGGAATGAATCAAACCAGTTAATCAAGTCCACTTGGTTTAATTGAAAAGTGGACCAGCTAGCTGCATGTATCTACTCATTGGTTCATTGTAGTTTGAAATTTCATGCACTTTGATGTGGTTTTCAGTGCTTCCTCTGTGCTTTGGCCCAATCACTCTCCCTCTTCCCCCTCGTCGTCATCCTCTTCTTCCTCGTTGTCGTCGCCCTCCTCTCTGGGTTCGAGCACTTCCTTCTTTACAGTGACCTGGCTAGGGCTAGCCTGAAGCCCTAAGGGTCTCTGGGGGTCGTGGTTTGAGCAGCAGGGCCGGTTGTCGAGGGCAGACATTACCAGCTGTCCTCTCTCATGCTCTCGGCAGAAGGAGGCGGGGCAAAAGTGGCAGAAGGAGGTGGCAGCACGCTGGCACATGCTGCACTGATGCCAGGGGCATTCCCATCGCCCTGAGACACACAGAAGAAACAAATCAATCATACAACATCAAAGTGGCTCAAGAGAGAACTTTTGCTGCCCTCATATTGGCAATTTCTTTCTAATTAATAGATTATGATCTGCAACATCTCAAAATGTCAGTTGGATTAACTTATTATAAGATGTAGGGTAACTGGTCAACAAACCCCCCCCCCAAAAAAAAAAGTTTAAGGAGTAAATATGTCATGTGGAGTAACCATCAAGTAAAATGTATTTTTCTTAATTTCCTCACATGCAGGTGTACAAATCCTAAAAAAATTAAAAAAAAAAAAATGATAATTTTTTTTCTAGCTGTAAACTATTTTGACAAATATAATAAATTATTAATTCATAAATATGTTTTTAGAGAGTTGCACCACATGACCTTTTACAACATGAACTAACCTTGTTTTATCATAAAAAGGTCAAATGATCTGATATTTTAAGAAAGTTTGAAACAAAAATGAGGATCTGCATCTATGTTCTTTCCATTTATGCTGGTTGCACCACATGACATGGTTTTGTACACTGTATTAATACATTTTGTAAATACATTTTAAAACAAACATTTTATAAATCTTATTTAAAAACAGCTACAATATATTTTAACAAAACTGTTGTGATTTTCCCTAATAAATAATAAAAGAATTACGCCAAACTACTTTTTCCAAGAATTTAATTTTTATTTATTTTTTCTTCATTATGATATCAGGACAGTTGTATCACCTTTTATACTTTTTAAATTGTATACCCCCCTTAAATATGTTTAGTTTAAAATTTTTATCATTCTCATCATAGAAGGGGTGTGTTCAAGCCATTTTATCTATGAATTATTAGATAAAACGGCTATTTATTAAAAAAAGAAATTAATGTACTTTCATTGACCCATCTATAGATGGTTGGTTCATTATTTTTCTTTGTGGTTCTCAACTATAGACTGTATAAAAACATGGACGTAGTGTCCGTGATGTCACCCGTAGAGTTCCGAAGAGCTTTTTTGAAGCCCAAAGTGGGCAGAGCGGGCCATCGCCATCTTTGCAGCACATCACCGTGCATCACTCCCAGATAATCGAAAATGGGCAAAGAGGCGTGAGCAGGTTGCTGAAACCACGCCCACCTAGCTCGACGGCAGTGTCAGCAGCGGCAATGCACCTGTCACTCAAGTGGCCACGCCCTTAATTATGCAGAACTTTAAGGCTTAATATAATTTAAACGGATGAGTTATAAAAAAATTCACCCCCTCACAGTTGTCATGAAGGGCAAAATTAGCTATATAGACCAAAATAATTTTTTGAACCAGGCTGTAAACGTTTTTTTCTGCTGTAAAGTTGGGCATTTTAACATGGGGAGTCTATGGGATTGACTCCCTTTTGCAGCCAGCCTCTAGCGGCCAGTCGATGAATTACAGTTTAAGTCACTTCCTTGTTGGCTTCACGAGAGAGAGCGGGAGGTTGCCGCTTGTTCTCAACCTTTTAGGCTCCAAGCTCCCCTTTTGTCCAAGACAAAGTCAGTTTAAACGTTGTACATCTTCACTTTTAATTTAATTAAGGGCCTCTGGTTGAGAACCACTGATCTAGATTTTAGACATTAATGCTATGGAAATCTAAATCCCCATCAAGCAACATGTAACAAGAAGCCATCCGGAACATGTGACAGCATTACGACGAAATTCCCACAGCTGATAAGAAAAGCTGGAGTGACAGACAGCACGCACCGTATGGAGGTTTGGTCAGGTTGAGGCAGAGGAGATGGTAGGCCTTCGGACAATCCTTTTTGTCACACATGACCAGCTCTCCTGCCTCTCCACAGCAGTAGCAGTAATACTCATGGGTCTGTTTGCTCTCTGTCTTCAGCTTGCGCTTCTTGGGCTTGAGCTTAGCATTGCGCACCTTCTCTTCCCTCTCCGTAACCACTGCACTCTGCAGGAAGTAAAACAAGGTGTCAGACAAGAGATTGATATGATGATGATAGAAAAAAATAATAATGAAATACAAGGAACCAAGAGAAAACAAATAACAACAATATAACAACCAGCATAAGTACACTCGGCTATTGGAAACTCCAGAGAATTGTCCTGGTGCAACAGGAAATCGTGGGTAAGCACTACATGTGCTCCAGTCTAATTCAATTAGGCTTTACCTTGGGCTTGACTCCAAGAAAACCACTGCAGTTCTCGGACCCACAGTGGCATGATGTCCTCCCATTACCCAGACAGTCCAGGTTGTAATTAAAGGTCAGCTCTGTGTCTGAAAAAAAAAAACCCATGATAATCTCAATTAGCTTCTAAACAAACGCTGTCCTTTTTTCAAAGAAAATACAAATTGTTCTTACCTGCAGCGATATCACACAAGGTAAAGAGCCCTATCCGCACATCTCCATTCACTGTCCACTTCTGAGTCTCACAGTTAGGACTGCAGCTGTGGTTCATAAAGCGTGACAAGTTCCCTTTGGGTCCAGCATCAATCACACGGTCCTGAGAAGCACAGAAGGAGTGACTTTAATACAGCTGAGATGATGTTATAATGTTACATACACAAAGTAAACATGCAACAGTGATACCTTTGTGAGGGTCAGCATGTAAAAGTTGGTCACATCGTTCTCATTGGCATGTCTTATTCGCTGCTTGCACTCTTCGGAGTCGATCAGTTCGCCAACATACTCCATGACAAAATCACCCTAAACACAACCAAACAATGTCCCAAGATCAGTAAAATGAAACATTTTATGCAATATGAAGGTCTGAACTTCAAAAGTTTTTCACCAAAACGTTGATTATTTTTGACATTCCAAAAAAGTCAGAATACATGAAAAAAAAAACCAACCTACATACAATTAATAATAATAATAAAGATTTATTTAAATGATAAACTTTAAAAATAAAGTAGCTCCACAACAACATTATTATTACTATTAATAATAAAGTATAATATTTCAGATTTGGTCCGTGTGAAGGCTTTTTAGTGCTGAAAATTAGGCATTAAAAAAAATGTTACATGCTTTTGTCATTTTTTTTTATTATTATCTTTACAGTTAGTAACTTTAGCTAATATTTTAATTTATCTAATATCAAATAGTAAATTTTTTCAACTTTATTTCAGTTATGAAAAATGTTTTCAATAGTTTAATGATAGTAACCCTGAGCAAAACTACAAATATTTATAGTCACCACAGAAATTTAGATTTTATTAATTTCCCAGTCTTTCTGAACTTTTCACAATTAAAGCTCCAGTCCATTAGTGCAATTAGACTTCATGCTCAGACGTCAACCTCTCACCTTTCTGAGGTCCTGCTTGGTCTTTAGGCCCCATCCTCGGCCGGTGGTCTTAATGACCTCAGTGTCGGGGTAGAGGCGTTTGGAAAAGCACTGGTTGTGGCAGCAGTCACCTGCCGGACAGACCTGCGGGTGGCATTCATACTGCAGCATGCGGTTCAGGCACCAACCTACAATAATAATAATAAAGATTTATTTAAATGATAAACTTTAAAAATAAAGTAGCTCCACAACAACATTATTACATTATTATATAATAAAGTATAATATTTCAGATTTGGTCCGTGTGAAGGCTTTTTAGTGCTGAAAATTAGGCATTAAAAAAAATGTTACATGCTTTTGTCATTTTTTTTTATTATTATCTTTACAGTTAGTAACTTTAGCTAATATTTTAATTTATCTAATATCAAATAGTAAATTTTTTCAACTTTATTTCAGTTATGAAAAATGTTTTCAATAGTTTAATGATAGTAACCCTGAGCAAAACTACAAATATTTATAGTCACCACAGAAATTTAGATTTTATTAATTTCCCAGTCTTTCTGAACTTTTCACAATTAAAGCTCCAGTCCATTAGTGCAATTAGACTTCATGCTCAGACGTCAACCTCTCACCTTTCTGAGGTCCTGCTTGGTCTTTAGGCCCCATCCTCGGCCGGTGGTCTTAATGACCTCAGTGTCGGGGTAGAGGCGTTTGGAAAAGCACTGGTTGTGGCAGCAGTCACCTGCCGGACAGACCTGCGGGTGGCATTCATACTGCAGCATGCGGTTCAGGCACTGAGAGTCCTGGCTGCACGGACGCTCATCTGTTGGTCTGCAGCTGCAGCGTGGGATCTCTGAGAGGTCAGCGACGTGCACCTGCACCTTCCCAACTGGCTTATTGGACTGAGGTGAAAAACATGGACAAAAATACAGAGCTTTAGTTTGTTTCAATATGATTTGAGTTTTCTTTGTAAAGTTGCATTGTAGAGAGATTAACATGAAATGTAAGAATGGGCCGTATTATGGTACCACACGACAGCAGAGAAATAAAATATTTGAGCTATATCCTGTACCTTGATAAGTTTGTATGGTGGGGGTCTGCGAGAGTTGCGCTCCTGTTCGAGGGCCTCCTTAGTTTCTCGCTGTGCTTTTAGCTCCTGGAACCTTTTTGCTGCCTCCTCAAGTGCTTTACACACAAAAATACATTTAGGGGTCAATTCAGCTTGACCATTATTGGGGACATGATCATTCCATTAAACATACTAATAATTATCTTACCTTTTTTAAACGTCTTATTGATGCCAACTTGTCCCTCTGCAAAGTTCTTATCACTCTCAACATATGGGAAAACTCTTCCCTGGTTTATCCAGTAATAGTCATGGGAGCCAAAGAAAAAGACTGGAAAGTCACCAATGTCATGCTTCAGGCTCTGGATGTTGGAGGGAACCAGGCGAGGGTTGCATATCTCAGCTGGCCACCACCTACACATGGTTCAACATCAACATTAAGTTTATCACTTATTTACTGGTTACACAGGTAAAATAAAGTCATCGTCACCTAGGAAAACAAACCAAAAATACTGATGTGCTTCTGAAGTGGCATTTAGGTGTCTTTAAACATACGCTTTAAATCTGCTCAGAGGTGGCATATATGCATTTACATAGTGATTACAACTGTATGCTTTGATGCTAGGGTCTGAGCAGGCAAAATTCAGTCTGGCTTTTATGCAGCATTGCATTTTGCACTGAATTTTGAGCAGGCACAGAGCAGCCTTAACGCGGTTGTGTAAAGACATCTTTTTACACAGCTGAGTTAAGGCTGCTCTGTGCCAGCTCAAAAATATGTGTAAATACATGACGAAACATAAAAGCTGGATTAAGCAATGCCTGCTCTGACCACCTTAGCCCCTAGTGTAAGGCCTCTTTACACAGCTAAGGCTGCTCTGTGCCTGTTCAAAATTGTGTTAAGAGGCGATGCTGCATAAAAGCCAGACGAAATAATGCCTGCTCAGACCCACCTCAGATCCTAGTATCAAATTACACAGCTTTAATTTCTGTGCAAATGCATTTATGTCACCTATGAGTAGCATTAAATTGTCTGTGTAAAGACAACTAAATGCCACTTCAGAAGTGCTTCTCTGCCACCTGGTAATTGCATTGTAAATTTAAAGGTATAAAGCAGGGGGCCTCCTAACTCAGTCCTGGAGGGCCGGTGTCCTGCAGAGTTTAGCTCCAACTCCAATGAAACACACCTGAACCAGCTAATTAAGGTCTTACTAGGCATGCTAGAAACTTCCAGGCAGGTGTGTTGAGGCAAGTTGGA